ATAAAAAGTATTTGCATATATTTATATTTAAGCTATGAATATATAAGCACCCACGCCAACTATCGAAGGCCTCAGCGCCAGCGATATGGCTAAATATCGAAAAATGTATATCTATTTATAGTTAGCTTCAATACGGTTCCTTGTAATATATTAAAGGTTACTACATCAAGTCCCTGATTAAAATTTGTAGGGCTCCTCCAAACGAGCCTATATCGATTTTGTTTAGGAACTCTATTTTTGTATATAAATCGTATATATATTAGTATATTCGTAATTATTTCTTGACTCATCTTCAAATTATTTTTATATTATTTATTTATTAATTTTATTAATTTTTTTTTCAAAATTTAGAATTTCAAGTTTCTACAGTACATATGTACATATGTATTCCGCACACTGAAATTAGAATACATAGTTGAAAATTTTTGTATACTACTTAGGTGAGACCTTTTTATATTGGTTTATCAAGCTACATTTTCTGAAAACTAAATAAAATATATTGTTTGGAAATCGATATTTATCGATTGGCGATTTAGGTGTTACGCACACTACTTTTCATATACGAGCAAGTGTAGACATACATTTGTATATGATAATCTTATATAATAATAGTAATAATGCTAATACTAAATATATACCTTACCTAGATCAACATAAACACAAGTAGATCGGTGCAATAGCTCTCTCTTTATCTAACTATCTTAGATGTAAATACTCTATCTCACTCTCTCAGCCATCTCAGCTGAACAAAGTCCCAGACTTAACTTTCCTGCATCCGATCTAATTATTTTGTATGCCAACTCTCATAACCGAAACCAGAAAAGTTTTTGTTTTTTTTATTTTTCTTTTTAATTTTGTTATTTTTTCAAAGTTTGTAAAGTTTGCGCTGATTGTCCGATTGTTTGTGGAGAAAGCACCTGCTAAGTAGCGCTCATTAGTGGAAATACGAAAGGCCATAAAGTTCCAGAGAAGAAGTTCTTGGCTCTTAACTGCCGCCGCTGGCGTTTGCCGTTGCTCTCAGATAATCCCATTCAGCGTATCATTTGGCTTGATTGTCTGCTTCCTGTCGACGCCCCAGGATACTTGTAGCATATTGCCATCGGAATATGTATTCGCTATTCATATCGCCACACGCCACGCACCACCGCATAGATCAAAAGCGGCGGGCAAACTTTTTGGCTTGGCTTCCGTTCATATTGCGCTGGGGGCCGTCGCTGGGGGTCGCGGGCCTTCTTCAGTCTCAAATCTTGGGCTGGCGTCTGTCTGGATCCGAGCTCCTGGTTTTCTCTTCTGCGACTTCTTTCGACTGCGTCAACAAATAAGATAAGTAGTCTGTAGTTAATTTTTATATGTCTATTCAGGGGGCGCCGCCTTGACAGTTGTCAATTTTCTTCGCATATTTTCTGTTCCTGGTGTGCGTGTGTGTGTGTGTGTGTGTGTATTTTTTCGCGTTTCTTTTTTGGTGGCGTTATTGCTGTTCATTTCGTCAATTTATCACGAAAGCAATTTAAAAATCAAATCGAGGGTGACAGACGACATACTGTGATAGAATTTTTTCCTCGCCAATGATTTGGCCGTAGCCCTTGGCCCTTGGCCCATAGCCCTAAGCTCTCAGCCCTGGGCCACGGTCGAACCAAATTAAATCAGCGTAACTGTTTATTCAAATCCCCAAACATGGGCTAACAACGGCGACAGCAACTTTTACTTTTCCTTCAACATTTTCTTTGCTTTTCTTTTCTGGTTTTTTTTTTTTGTTCGCCTCCTTTGGTTATTTTCTTGCAGTCTTTATCATTTCGTCAAGTTATTTTTCTTTTTTACTTGCCGTTGTTGTTGTTGTTGTTGCTGTTGTTGTTGCTGTTGTTGTAGAGGGCGTAATTTTCTAGATCCCGGCATGTTTAAGTGCGCGCTTTGCCGCGGCATTTGACAATTTGCTCATTAAGTTTGTCTGACCCCAACCTGTCGCCAGACGTCGACGTTTGGGCCTGAGGGCCATGGCCAGGCTTTGCCTTTTGGCCTTTTTTTTTTTCTTTTTTTTTTACTACTGGCACGGCGTATGAGAGTTTTCAGCTCTCTCTCCCTCTTTCTGTGTCTCTCGTTCTCTCGTTCCGTCACCCTCGTCAGCTTCGACAGATTCTTGTTGGCATTTTTAAACGTTTCAAGTGGCAAATAATTCCTTGGGATTTACTTGCAAATCTTTTTTTAAACATTTGATTATGGGACCCGGTTACAGTTACGCTTCGATCGCCGCTCGCCCAAGCTCATTTCTTACTAATTACCAGAAAAAAAAAGTAAAAGAAGAAATTGAAAGCAGCGGCAAATGTTATACAAATGGATTTACATTATCTGGCAATGCTATTGGTCCTTCTTTTTTTTATGTTTTTTTGTTTTTGGGACTCATTTCATGAATTTTAATGCGCTACAAAAGGATTACGTGGGTCAACTCCACAGAGCTCACTCCGGGCTTCATGTTTGTAAATATTTGCTTAATTTCAATTAGCAAACAAATGCAAATCCCTTGTACTAGAAAAAGTGATGCGTGCAATTGCTGTTGCTGTTGTTGTTAATGTCATTGTTGTTGTTGTTGTTGTTGCTGTTGTTGTCTGCTCAGCGTATTGTTGCTACAGCTAATGCCACTTGCAGTTGTCAAGGCTTCAGCTACGAAATGCCTTTTCCCACCTCCATCTGGTCAGCTACGAATTATGTTTGTGCAGCATTTGCTTCGCTGGATATTCAAGCGCTTATCGAGGGCTGCTAATGAAGTAACCGACAAACGAGTGCAGCTCTGTCAATTGAATGTAACGAAGCGGCTGTAAGGCAGCAGTGAGTGAGCAGATTGTCTGCCTAAGTAGAGTAGTCGCTCCTGGAGAGCTATAACTAGTTGAGAATTCCAAGGCACCAGCTCTGTGAAAGTGAGCCGAAGGTCTATATTTTATATTGAAAATGTCTCGCATATATGAATTTTTTTCTATGAAAAATCATTTTGATTTAGGGTTTTTTCCATGAAAACAAATCAAGCTCTAAACGTACAGAAAGCTTTGAAATGCGAGCAGTCACTTGCTCAGACATTTTCATTAGGTATTCAAGTTATTTACAGAGTCTAGCTTCATGCATGACTTACCTGAGCTAAGGCAGACATCAAATAATTTTATGGCGAAAAATTCCAAAATAAGTCCAAAATTATCGATTAACGAATTGAATAAGAAAAATGCACGCAGACATACATATTATGGCAATATAAACCTATATAGGCCAACTTTTGCAACAGCCTTCGGTATTGTTCTACAAAATCTCCGAGCAAAATATACCAATGGACAACTAGACTCGAGACTGATGTAGTAGTTCATATCGATTGTAGATGATATCGATTTATCTATATATAAACTAACTTTTGAAACTGCCCTCGCTGTATTTATACACAATCTCCAAGCTACATATATATAAATCAATAAACAAATCAAATGGAAACTCATATATGTAGTAGGGAATATCGATACTAGGGCATATCGATAATAGGGGATATCTATATATGTATATGCGAACTTTTGAAACTGCCCTCGCTGATCTGCTAACTACCAGCACAACAAACAAAAAGAATCAATGCATTTAATAATATAAAGGCAAATGATATGATATGTTATCATGTTATATATTATATATCTATAGGTAAATTTTTGAAATAGCCCTCGCCGTGTCACATTGAACAGTCTTTAAGCTATCAGCTCAATAAATAAACTTTAAATTAATCATAATATATTATAAAGCAATCTATACCTATAAATATATTGTACAAGCAATATATAGAAGAGGAAAACTTTGCGAACCGCCCTCGCTGCAGCACTAGCATCGTTTTGGGCTTGAGGTTGGGCGTGGAGCAGTCAGTGGCAGGAGTCGGGAGTTGCTTTTGCATTTTTGTCCACTCGTAATTTTAATGATGTGTTCTATGCTGCGTATGCGTAATGTGGGCGCAATTAGATAAAATGGTGGCGCATCGACTGTTGCAACAGCAACAGCAACAGCAACAGCTGCCATTGCAGCTGCAGCTGCAGTTGCAGTTGCAGTTGCAGCAGTTGCATTCAAGCGGAAACTGAATAATCCACACACATGGGAAATGCATTTGGCCGTTGTCTACTAATGAATTAAAATCTTCTGGACGGCAGCACGGCAGCGGGGTAGGCGGGCACATGTAATTATTGTTGCTATGTGTATGCATGTAAATGAGATGTGCGCTGCATGTTGCACATGGCTGTGTAAGCACATTGAAGTGCATTACTAAAGTGCATTAGCAGCAGCAGCAGCAGC